TGATAATGGAAGTGAACCAAGTGAGATAATGTGATGGCGTGTGCGTGCATGTGTGCGTGTTTCAATGCATCCATACAGCTTAGAGGAGGAAGGGGGGGGGTGTTATCTTTTCTGTGCCTTTATATAGTTCAGATACAATCATCTGAGAAAGAGAAAGGCAGAGAGAAGAAGAGAAAAAGGGGGAGAAATAGGAAGAAAACAAGGGAGCTCAAGATAGTGAAGGAGAGGGCAGGGAGAGGGAGTGCAAAATTTAAAGAACGAAAGACAGAGGGAGAGAGAGATGGAAGGGGGAAGAACGCAAAAGAGGCTAAAAGAAAGGGTAGGAAGGCAAGGGATGACTGTTACAGCTCAATTAATGCCGGGACATGAGATGGCCCTGCCACTGATAATGACAGAGCGAGTGCTGGAGAGAGAGACGGAGAGGGGAGAGAGGCAATAGCAGTGATCTCGACAGGATGTTAGGAGGAAGCTGGAGGGGGGAGAAAGAGGGGGAGGAGAGGAAATAAGAGCAGATACTGTTAAATCTATTCATGATTCATTATTTCTCACTGCGGCTCAAAAGCTCCCCCCCTTCCTTGATGTCGCTCTCTCTCTCCTATCTCCGTCACCCCCCCCGCCCTTTCTTTCCTTGTCCCTCTGTTGCTTTTCTTTTCTTGGCTCTAATTTTCATCTCCATCTCTTTTCTCCCCATCATCTTTTCTCTGAGGTCTTTATCTGTCTCTTCTAAGGCTCCATCCTTCCTGTTTACCCTCTCCTCTTTCATCCGTTCAATTAATCTCTATCCCCTCTTTTCCTCTCATCCCTGCTCTCACACTTTTTCCAACATTAGCTCTCCCCGCCATCTCTCACTTTTTTTTCTGTTTCTCTATCTCCCTTACTCTCTTAACTGCCTTTTTCTCCACTATGCGCTCTCTTTCTCTGGCAGTCTCTTATATCTTCAAAGTGCTAATTTTTCTAAATTATCTTACTCTTACTTTTTTTCAAACTATCCCACTCACTTTTCCATCCCCTTTCCCTTTGTAACACCCTCTACTCTACAACCTCTCCTTTTGTGTTTTATCCTCATCCACTTTCTTTTTCTCTCAGATTCCTCAAGCTATCTCTTTTTTCAATCAGTGTCTCTTTTTGATATCCTTTTTTTTTAGCAGTTCCTTCATTTTATATTCTATCACTCTCTCCATTCTTTTTTTTTTTCTCTTTCTGTCAATTTTTGCTCCTCTCTTTCCCCGTCTATCTGTGATACTGTAAGTTCTCTTTTACTATCTGCTTCATATTGCTCTCTCACTGGCTCTCCTATCACCTCTCCTGTTTTTACCAGCTCTCTTGCCCCCCCCCATTCTCTTTTTGCTCAAACATATACTTTTTTCTACCTTTCTTCTCTCTCATATTCCCCCTGCTCCCTCCTCTCAGAGCCTTGTTCACTAGTTCCTGACACCAGGCCTCTTCCTCTTCATTTATTTCTCTCTTTTTTACTCTCATTCGCCTGCCTGTAGCTCTTTGGTCTCCTTCTGTCATCCCCACCACCTACTCCTTCTCCCCCTCTCTTCCTATTTTCCACACTCTACCCCTCCATGGCTTGCCTCTGTCATCTTCCCCACCTATCCCCCTCTTCCCCCTCCTCTGTCCATCTCTCAGAGGTGTAGCCAACACCCCAGTCTACTTCTTCTTTTTGGCGACAAGAACTGACAGTCCAGTCCTGCTTGGCTTTGTTGCCAGCCATCTCTCTCTCTCTCTTTCTCTCACTCACTCTGTTCTCTTCCTATGGCACTCCTTCTATCTCTCTTTATCTCTGTTCCTTTCCTATGACTACACTGTTAGGTAATAGTTTCTCTTCTTGTACAACCTTTTCTGCATTTTGCTTGGTGGTTTGAATTTAAAAATGAATAGTATGTTAGTAGCATATTAGAATTTTGGTCATTCGGACAAAAATGGTAATTTTCAACTATTTGAAACTCCTAATTACATTTTTCAGAGAAGAAAGAAATTGCATTTACTGAATTTATGCTTCATTTGTTTTAAATATCATCATTTAAATCTTAAATTTCCCTGTTGGGGAACAATAAAGTGCCATCTTATGTTAACTGTTAACTGACATTATGAACAGTGAAGATAAATGACTACGGACCTAATCACTATTTTTACTAAATATAATTGCACTTCTATTTCACACTAACTTGAAAAACATTAAGAAAAATGTATGAGTGTATCTGTACTGTAGTTTAACTTCTTTCAGTATGAAATGACTGGTAGCGAAAGCTATACCTTAAAGTACTTTTCCAGCGGTCTGTCCTTTTTGCTCTCTTTATCCTCTCATTTTGTCTCTCTCTCTCCCCTTCTTTCAGATTATTGCTACATCAATAGCTGTGTCTGCTGTGGGGTTTCAATCTATGTCATCTATGAGTCACTTTTATTTTTCACGTGTCTTTCCCTTTTTTTAAACAACACAATGAGTCCAACATAAAGTACCACTGAGGTTTGCAGATTTCGAGTGTGGTTCACATCTTTGTTCAAGGTAATATGAAGCCGATGAGCATTTAAAGTCCTGAATACTTGCATGACAACAACGACTCATCCTCGTCTTATAATCCTAGACAGCTGACATGAAACTGGGATTTATACAGTAGCAATGGAATTTAAGTTGATCTACGGTGGCATATAGTGTTTTGTGCCTCTCAATCCTCATCATAAATGAAATACTGATATACAAATGCAGCTTTCAACAAATAGCAGAACCTTAGAGGCACGGCAATACAATACTAAAGAGAGGCTTGCTGTCATGTGGAAACTGCTGTCTGCTATATATTTGTTCTTGTTGCTCTGCTGCTGAAAACGATGTCAATCAAGGAAACGGGTTCCAGTATTTTAACAGAATGAACAGTAACAAGGTATTTCTGACAGCAGCTTCACCTGAAACACAGCACATTACCATAAACAAAGGATCTGGATTGGGACTTAATGTATATAATGCCGATCAATAAAATTAGGACTGCAAGATATGGTAAAAACTTCATATTGTGATTATTTTGACAGATAATGCAATATGATTCTTCATGACAAATTATAATTTTTTGCAAATTACAAATTTAATTTCCACCAAAAAAAATACTAACATTATGAAAATGTGAAGGTTTTGGGGGGTCTGTACCAAACAAACATGTTTTCTGGAGAACAAGAATTGTAGGTCAGGGCATTTGCAGCAGTACAATACAGCGATTTGCATACTGCACTTATTGCAATTTCAATAATATTTAAATTAATTATGCAGCCCTAATTAGAATATGCCCCGATCGGCACTTAAACTCATCTTGCATCATCACTAACTTCAACCATTGGACATAACATCAGCCAATACTGGAGTCTGGAGTAAGTATGTGTACTGCAGAGCAAGTATTTGGACAGAAACCCACTGTTTGATGTCTCTGTGCTATAATTACCTTTGCTCATGAAATGACACAATGATTATGAGGTTAAAGTGCAGAGGCTTTCATTCGAAGGCGTTTTTAGAGATTGTTTCAAACAATGAGCTGCTTTCTAAATGCATATGCATGCTGGGAGTTCATTGTAAAACGTGAAAAAAATAAACCCCCTCTTGTCTTCCGTGACAGTGCCTGAGTCCACCACACAGAGCGAGTTAGCATGACAGATAGACAGATTAAGAGAGGGGGGAGACACAGGCGCCTTACAGGAAGATGCCATTCAACTGGATAATGATTCTGTCTATCTGCACGGAGGTCTGTCAACACAGAGGAACAGATCTCATGTCTGCTATCCGTTTGTCTACCTTTTTATCTGTCTGTCTGTCTGTCTGTCTGTCTGCAATTTGACTGTATTCCTTTCCTGGAGTGTGACCCAGACAGCAAATTAGCAGCAAGTGTGAGGACTGACAAGCAGTCACCAGCTCCCGAGAGCACACACTGCTCATCCGACACACATCTTCATTCAACAATACCGGATCTCAGCGAGGATGAATGGAAAAGATACACAATTTACACCGACCTTCTTTTATCGCCTTCTACCTGGTTTCTGGTCCTTTGCATCGTTTAGAAGACCCGGTGGGTTCACATAATAGCTAAGCCTTGTCGACATCTAGTGTCAGTTAACCTCAGTCTGTCACCACCAGCTCAGTAAAACATACATTTGCCATTGCTATGGTTACCGCCCGTAGCAGCAAGATTAATAGTATTATCATTCTCACTTCAGTAATTATTTCTTCTCTCATCTACAGCAGGCATCACTTGTTTTGCTTGATAATAACCGAGGAGGAGAATACAAATTTAGTCAATAGGGATATCATAACTGTGCAGGAAATACACTCTGCTGGGGGTTTTTTTTAACTTCTGGTTTCATGCAACAGTACCTTATATTCCATACGGAGGCATAGAGAGGGAAACTACAGCGTTGTGCTGTGACCCTTATTAAAACAAATAAAATCAACCATCCATTGCAGAGTGTTGAAACCACTTGTTGCTCTTGCTGACTCATTATTAGTCTACCAAATAAAAGTAAGAAGAAGAAACTCATTCTTTAACAAAAAGTCTTTTGGTCCTACTTTTTACTAAGGTGAGTCACTACTTTTTTCCAGCTCATCATCTTTACACAGAAATTGAAGCTGGAACAGAGTCTGCTTTATCCTGCCAACACAGAATACCCTGAGTGGCCAGAAAAATAGAAACACATGTACATTGTGATATAAGGCAAGTCTCAATGCTGTGGTGCATTTTGAGATTACGGTTTGAATTGGTGTTGTAGCGGGCAGCATTTAATGAAAGGTGTTTCAAATGATTTGTCCACCTTATTTAGCTGTATTGAGATCAGTGTAAATACAAAATATAGACAGGAGCAATAAAATATAGTATAAAGCCACCCACACAGAATGACACGCTGATATACAATGCTTAAAATAACACTTCCCTTCCTCCTGCCAACAAATACGACTTCTACACAGAAAGCAATGATTAGAGTGTGAAAAAACAAAAAATACAGCGTCCAGTTTGTCTTACCTGTTTGTGCATCTCAATGTTGAGACCGTAGGACATTTCATAGTA